ATAATGATGATGATAATAATGATAATAATAATAATAATAATAATAATATTAATAACAATAATAATAATTATTATGGGTGTGGGGGGGGTTATTATTATTATTATTATTATTATTATAATAATCATCATCATCATCACTATATCATCATCAATCATTATATTCTACTTTTGCACGTACTTTCGTAGAGAAAATTCACCACAACCAAACATATTCTCATTTCTACACCTACATAAAACTAAAAATACACCTTCATCCAAACATATTCCCATTTTCTACACAAAAACCAATAATCTACTTTTTCCATCAGAAATTTTGAAAACTAGAAATTCGTTTTGGAAACATAACCAAACATCCCCTACACTTGCAATTACAGTCTCCAAATTATGATTACAAGTGTTACAGGTGGTAGCGTTTGTGTGAATTTCTCTTACTTAATTATTTATCAAACAAGATCGAACTTTCAATCAATTTAATCGGATAAAGAGGAACAATACAATATCCAAACAGCAAAATTATAGATTATATCAGTTCTACCCACAAGTTACAGTCTTTCACCTACAGATTTCCAACACTTAAATAGCCAAGAAATATTGACGACGTGGAACACCATATACATATATAGCAAAAATACACGCGTACATTAATCAATACATACATAGAAGACAAATGTTGGACGGGAAAGAAAACAATAAGCAAGTGAAAACAAAAGAGGAAGGAATTTGGATGTCGTGGCTCCTTGAGAGCATTTAACTAATTTATACAGGGTAACTAATCATATTCGATACAGAGCCGGGGTTTCTTGTCGGTTAACAAACATATACAAAAAGGGACCTTTTTTCCAATATGCTCTGCTTGGACATGAAAAGGATGATCGAAACATGGGTCTTCTAATAAGGGTACAAAGCAGAGCAGACTGATATTGTTGCCTCAATCTGTACTGGTCAGGCTAAACCTTCAGTTAGGCAGTTGGTGCTTCAGAACCCTTTGTGTTCTTTAGCAACAAACATTTTAAGTCTCGGTACAACAACAGCAGCAGAAAGTACAATTCACGTGGTGCCTTCATACGAGGCAAAGAACTGCAGACCCATTTGTCTCTTCACGTGGTCTGGTATAAGCTTGTTTATGAGATCCGAAGAGGCGCCAGACAGCTAAACCACAAACCACAAATTATAAATAAATAATCAGAGAAACTAAAACTTTCTTGCACGAAAGAAACATTTACTAGACACGTATATTAGTACGGGCCAAATATTTTGTTGAATGAAAAAAAAAAAGCAACAAAATGAATGAACCCCAAATGTACGCACCTCCTGCTTGAAGTTAAACAATGGTGGTAGTGGTCGACCATTTGGCAATCGGGCATTAGGTTCACGAAGCTCATCAAAGAAAGGATGAGAACACGCATCAAGCTGCAAAAAGAATTATCCTTGTCAAGAAATAATGAACATCTTAAGTAGACCTACAGGCAGGGTAATTACACATCATACGAAGTCGAGAATCAAACGTTTACTTCAACTACCACCACATATTACAATAGAGAAGAATAAACCAAACTCTGGAGAAGGGAAAAATGGAGAAACTCACTGCAGAGAGACGCAAATTTGGAGAATATTGCAGCAACCTAGAGGCAAGGTCTATTGCTTCTGGAGGCATCAATTTTTGAAAAACCTGAAAGCAAGGCATACGTGATGAGAAAATCAATATTAGAAATACATACCGAAAGGCTGCGACGATTATATCGAGATTCCAGAAAATCATGGTCATTCCACAATTAAATAGTGCAAAGCAACTATAAAATTTGAGCTACAAATTAACAGGATGCTATGATCAGGACACAGTCCACAAGGCACTTTGATCGTATAAGCTTTCCTTTTTCTTGTTATTTTCTGTAAGCTAAAAGTACAAATATTTTTTTCCACTAAGCACGTAACATTATAATAACATGAAGATGCAGTGATGAAAAAAATACTAACTATTGGCAACTAAGAAACGGATCATAATACAACATTCCACCTAGATCATAAGAAACTTCGTAGAAGTGGATATTAGTACCTTGTGCCAAGGGTGTGCCTTTATTTGTGGAAACCTAAAATCAGTATAGTTTGGATTCATACAACGGATTTCCTCCCGTGTTGGAGTACCAAGAACCTGCAAGGAAAAAAAATTAATATTCAAATAAAGGCTATATAGTTTACATCAGTCCGGGAGATAATAAACAAATGATACCTTTATGATTTCCACAAGTTGATCCACAGCATTCTCCCCAGGAAACAATGGCTACGTAATTTGCATATTAAAGTCAGACCGAATACAGTTTAATATAAAAAATACAATACACAAAAAATAGTAGAAGCGAGTACTTAAGTTACGGCAGAAATTATAATGCTAATACTCACTTGGCCCAAAAGAAGCTCAGCAAGGACACAACCTGCTGACCAGATGTCGATTGAAGTAGTGTACTCCGTTGCACCAAAAATGAGTTCAGGAGCCCGATAAAATCGTGAGCAGATGTAAGATATGTTTGCTTCACCTCTCACCTATCTATAATATACATAAAAGTCGGGTTTCAGAAAAGGTAACGGAAGAAAAAATAATAACAGACACAAAATGAAGAGGCAGAATAGGCATAAAACATAGAAGAGTGGCACTTACAAGTACTTTTGCACTTCCAAAATCGCATATTTTCACCTGATGAGTTACAGGATCAACCTATACAGAAACGGGTCGAGTCAATAAGAGGACAGCCAATCGTTACCCAATTCATTAATTTAAACGGTCTCCTAAGCATACCAGGACATTTTGAGGCTTCAAGTCTCTATGACACACTCCGGCAACAGAGTGCATGTAAGCCAACCCTCTCAAAATCTGCAATGCAAATATCCTCATTATCATATAGAGAAAAGAAAATTGTACATAAGCGACATTTTACAAAGAAATGCACCACTTACTTGATAGGTATAAAGTTTCACGTAAATGAGTGGCATTCTCTGCTTCATGTTACTGCAATGCTTCAGAACGCGAAACATGGTTTCTGGTACGTACTCCATAACTAAATTAAGAAAAAGTTCATTTTTGCTCGTCGTTGAAAAGAAGCAATGCTTTAGAGAGACAACATTAGGATGATCCATTGTTCGCATTAACTGAAGTTCACGGTTCTTGTATCTCCTGTCTTGCAAAACCTTCTTTATAGCTACAGACTCTCCAGTTTCAATGCATTTTGCCTAAGGTTTGTCACAACACAACAAGAAGAAGAAAAAAAAAAGTTACAAAGGAAAAATGTGACTGTGACCACAAAAATATGAATAGGTGTGGATACTTGAATAAATGTATACCTGAAACACAACTCCAAACGAACCAGTCCCCACAACTCGCTCCGCCATATAACTAACAGTCTGCAAAATATTCAAACAATACAAAAAGTTTTAATAGTACATCTTCCCTTTCTTTCCTTTCGTTGGACACATTACTCGGATCCCAGGACCCATAACTCTTTCTCAGTAATCAAAACAAATATCTAGGTGTGGCCCGCAACAGATAATAATTAGTCATTAATATTAATTAAACAACTGATGGCCAACAATATACACACTAATACGCAGTTACTGGAAGTTAAATGAGTAGAAGCTGCTCAAAGTTTCGGCTAGACATCAAAAAAATGTTCATGATAGCCTGGTATTGATCTATCCAAGCCAAAAGGCAGCAAGCCATATACAAACGAAACCTGTCTAGCACTCATTCAGTTGCATTAAATATTTCCAATAACTAGTTCATTGAGCTCACAACACGCAAAAGATCATGGATATATATAGATATGCTTAGGTTCAAATTACAATCAGTCAATATGAATTCCAAGGAGTAAATAGTTATACCTGCTTAGGTTCTCCATTCTTGCCCCCGATGGTTGTTGAAATTATGTGACCAATCGAAGCACCATTCCCATCCATTATAGGCGCCGCAGACATCTCCTTTATGAAGAAAGATGATAATCATATAAGAAACCATAACCCACCCATATTATAACTCTTAGCAAGTTCAAAGGCATTTAAACAACTAACAATCACTAATTAGTGAACTGCGACAAGTTACTCTTTAAAATGGTAATGTTAAAATGGAATTAATGCGGATCAAGAATCACAAATTAGTATATTACAAAATTTCTTCGATAAATATCAAAATACAATATACCAACAGACCTATTGACCTGATTACCCATATAGAAAAAAAAAGGGGGAAAAAAAGCAGAACGAAGACGAGATCAGATGACAAGGAACAAGAACTTAACCCTAATCCAAGTCCTCTTTTGCTACCAACACTCGGCAAAACCTTAAGAATCTAACACCCAATTTATAACGGTATTCTCAGTTCTCACAGCTCATCTAAAATTCGGAAGAAAATAGTAAAATTAAAACTGTTCATAAAGGCAAAAAGTTAGATCTGGAATTTTTTGAGGAATAATGGAGGAAAAAAGATTAAACAAAAAAATATTCAATGCACCATATCTTCCAGGAATCTTTCATGAATAAATATGAATCCAATTTTGTAGCAGGGATTTTAGAGAAACAAGCATAGTACCTTATCGTCGGCCATTGTAAGGACACACGGTATACAAATTCCGTTGCGGAATCAAAATTGAAAAGAAAAAAAAATACAGCGAAGAAATAAGAAGAAATATTAAGGATTTCCAATTTTGCAATTCGGGTGAACGTTTCTTATGGTTGAGAAAATGTTATTGTCGGCAGGAGAGGAGAGAGAGAGAGAGAGAGAGAGAAGAGAGAGAAAGGAAGAGGAACAGGGTGTTGGGTTTGCAGGTCCCATCAACCAAACAGCAACCCATGTGATTACAGCTCTTCTTCTTCTCTTCCCCTTTTTCTTTCTTTTTGGAAATAAATTCGATAAATGACCCCCCAAGTTATCACTTATTTACGAAATGTGCCATTATTGATATCGTGTTTTGTATATCGAAAAGCGTGTTTGTTCGTTTGTTTCAGTTTCAGTTTGCCAGTTTCCTAATCCAAATGGACGTTTATATGGGCTTCTAGAGTCAATGGGCTTTGACTAATTTAGTAAGCAATCTAGGCTTTAGTATTGGATCTAGGGGTGGAAATTGGAATGGAATTTCCGAATTTCGTCAAATCCTATCCGAATTGGGAATCGTATTTTTCATTCCGATTTCTGAAGTTCTGATTTTCGATTCTTCAAAATTTAATTGGAATGGAATTGGACTGGTATATAATTTTTCTGGGAATTGCGAGTTCCGATCCGATTTTAGTTCCGAATATTTCTATGATTTTTCGAAATATATAATGTAGTTTTATGATATATTTTGTAATCCCATAATATAACTTATGTTATATTTATATGGATCAAGTAAATTAAAAATATTATAAAAGATTAATTGGTATCAGAAATTGTGTTGTATTTTTCCTTATAAGAAAATATATATTTCAATTTGTTATTCCTACACGTATTTTTACTTGTTGCGTTTTGTCAAATTTTCTTTTGGATTTTTTTGCATTTTCTTGCAAAATTTCAGAAAAGATAGAATTTAAAAAATTCCGAGGAAGCTATTTCCGATCCATTCCGTCTGGCGTCTGATATATTGTTCATAAACAAATTAATAGTACCAAATGTAATGGAATGGCACTTCACTTAAAAATCTATGTTAAAGAAAAAAAAAAAAAAAAAAAGTAACATGATCTATAGTTTAGCATGAAGATTATTCCAAGTCTTGTAGCCAATTAGTTTGACTAAAATGAAAGCAAATGATGAGGTTAATGAAATAAGTGGACCTTGTTTACTTATCTTTCTTCTCCTCTATACTCTACACAATTACAAATGCAACCAAGTATATATATATAGTGATTTCCCTATTTTTCCAACAGTACTGAAGATTAATGATGGAGAACACTAACTTGCTTCTTTTCATTACATACTACTACTGTATGCACTTGTTCACATCTTCTCTTCTAGCCTTAAACATCACAACTGATCAATCTGCACTGATGGTTTTCAAATCACAATTCGAACGAAATCCCGGCAATATTGTTCTATCAACAAACTGGTCTTCCGATACTCGTGTTTGCAGTTGGATTGGAATCACCTGCACCCCACGTCACCAAAGAGTGTCAGCCATCAACATCTCTAACATGGATCTTTCAGGCAAGATTCCCCCACATCTCGGGAATCTCTCGTTTCTAGTTTCTCTCGACATGTCTGGCAATAGCTTCCATGGAAACTTGCCGCATGATTTAGCTAAGCTGAAAAGGCTGAGGTTCATAAGCTTGAGCTCCAACAAATTCGGCGGCGAAATCCCGGCATGGTTCGGCGAACTGCGTAGCCTTCAGCGTCTGTTTCTTGATAACTGCAGCTTCGATGGACCAATCCCGCCTTCTCTTTCCAACATGTCGAAGCTGGAGACTCTGAGTTTGACGTACAATTCGATAAATGGGGTGATCCCTTCTGAGATTGGAGGTTTTCGTAGCTTGAAGATTTTGAGTCTCAGAGAAAATCAGCTTTCTGGATCCATGCCAGCTGGCATCTTCAATATATCGACGCTAGAAACAGTCGATCTCACTTCGAACGAGCTCACCGGTAATCTTCCAGCAAATATGTGCAGACATGTGAAGAAACTCAAGTACTTGTCCGTGTATTCGAACAAGTTATACGGACAAATTCCATCGACTATAGACGAGTGCTCACAGCTTCAAACTCTGCTGCTTCAGTTTAACCAATTCACCGGACCTGTACCACAACAGATCGGGAATTTATCGATGCTAGTGAATTTATATCTTGGTGACAATAACTTGAAAGGTACTTAATTAGTTTATTCAATTTCTTTTTTTCTTTCTCCACTGCCTTTTTGAGATATTATATGCAGGGGAAATTCCAGCTGAGATTGGCAAGCTTCGTAATTTGGAGTTCTTGACATTGGACGCAGCAGGCCTCGTAGGGGCAGTATCGTCTTTTGTTTATAACATATCCACACTGCAATGGCTTTATCTTGGACGAAATAACCTAACAGGTAATCTGCCTGTGGAAATATGCTTGCACCTTCCTTCATTACAGGGACTTTATTTCGGAGAAAACCAATTATCCGGAAGAATTCCGCGAGAGTTGGGCAACTGTTCTTCACTGGTTGAATTATACATGGATACAAACATGTTTACAGGTACTCTACATACAGTTAATTCTTATTTACTGCAGACAAAGTACCTTAAAAGATTTCAAAAGCACTTCCATTTTATGCATGGCAGGTGAAATACCTTCAGAAATCGGGAATCTTCCGAATCTGGAGATTTTGGTTCTTGGAACAAATTCCTTAACGGGTCGAATTCCGGGTACCATCTTCAATATCTCGACTTTGAGAACTCTCTCAGTTCGAGAAAATCGCCTCATTGGAAATCTTCCTTCAAACATGGGACGAAGGCTACCTAATCTCGGAGCAATTTTCTTAGGACAGAACAATCTCACTGGTCCTATACCAGATTCCATTTCAAACGCTTCAATGCTCACACGTTTGAGCTTAGTCGCAAACAAGTTAACCGGCCACATTCCGAACTCTCTTGGAGAGTTGACCATGCTAGACTTTTTAAACCTAGGAGAAAACAACCTCACCTCCGAGTCTTTTTCACAGATGAGTTTCATTACATCATTGACTAACTGCAGGCGCCTAAGAGTGATGTGGATTCAGAACAATTCCTTCAGCGGTTACCTACCGGATTCGATCGGTAATCTCTCTTTTACCCTTGAAAGGATCGACACAAGCAACTCTGGTATTAAGGGTAGCATTCCAAGAGATATAGGCAATGTTAGTAGTTTGGCCTTTTTATACATGGATAACAACGATTTGGTGGGGCCCGTTCCAGCCACGATCAAGGGCTTAAAGAACCTGCAAGCGTTGAGCCTTATCGGCAACAAATTGAGTGGACCAATCCCAGATGATATATGTCATCTACTCAATTTAGGGGAACTCACATTGAGCAAGAATCGGTTTTACGGTCCAGTGCCGCCATGCTTATCGAATATTACTGCCTTGAAGTACCTTAATCTTGATTCGAACGAGCTGAATTCTAGCATATCTCCAACCATTGGAGGCCTCAAAAATCTGTTGAACTTCAACTTGTTCTCGAATTTCTTAAGTGGCACGATACCCCAAGAAATAGGTAACTTGGAGACAATAATTTCGATCGACTTATCTTCGAATAAGTTGTCAGGTGGTATTCCTGGCACAATCGTCGGCCTGAATAACTTGATCAATCTATCGTTGGCCCATAATAGATTGGAAGGGTCAATTCCTGATTCGGTCGACAAAATGCTGAGTTTGGAAAGATTCGATCTGTCCCACAACAACCTCACAGGCTTGATCCCAAAATCAATGGTGGTGCTTCAACATCTCGAGTATCTCAATCTTTCGTTTAATAAGCTTACGGGGGAAATTCCCACCGGAGGGCCTTTCGGACATTTCAACTACCAATCCTTTGTTTCCAACGAAGCACTGTGCGGCCCTCCAATGTTCCAGGTGCCACCTTGCAATCATCGTAAATTGAGGCAAAAGATTTTGCTTGTTGTGCTCATACCATTGTCTGTTGCGTCAGCAATTTTCGCGACCGCAGTTTCCGTTTTCATCATTCGACGTCGCAGGCAAAAAAAAAGATCCCGTTCAGACAGAATTATTTCCTACAGTAATGCCAGAGAGGATTCGATACATTGACCTTGAAAGAGCAACCAGTGGCTTCGACGAAGCAAACTTGATAGGCATTGGAAGCTTCGGCTCGGTTTATAAAGGGGTTTTCCCAGATGGGAATTTCATGGCTGTAAAGGTGTTCAATTTACAGATGGACGGAGCTTTCAAGAGCTTCGATACAGAATGCGAATTCTTGCGCAGCCTTTGCCACCATAATCTGACCAAAGTCATTAGCAGCTGCTCCAACCTTGAATTTAGAGCACTTATACTCGAATACATGCCGAACGGTAGCCTGGAGAAGTGGTTGTACTCTGAGAATGAAACGTTGAATCTTCTTCAAAGATTAAATATACTGATAGATGTGGCATCCGCAATAGACTATCTTCACGACGGGTACATAACGCCCGTTGTACACTGCGATCTAAAGCCTAGCAATGTCTTGCTGGACGAGGACATGGTCGCTCACGTAAGTGACTTTGGTATAGCAAAGTTAGTAAATGCAGAGGACTGCGTAGTTCAGACAAGGACTCTAGCCACTTTCGGATACATTGCACCAGGTTACTCTTCATCTCTCTTACATGCATGCATATCTAGTTTGTTCCTATTTTCTTGATTCTTGTAATGATATTTTTTTTTTTTTGTAGAGTATGGATCGGAAGGACTGGTTTCGACGAGATGTGATGTTTATAGTTTCGGGATTATGGTGATGGAGACGTTTACGAGAAAAAGGCCCACAGATGATTTGTTCGCAGAAGGTTTGAGCATTAGGGATTGGGTGAGTGAATCGTATACAGATTCGTTGAGTCGTTTGGTGGATGGGGTTCTGCTTAATGATGATGAAAGGCTCGAGAGAAACGTGGCATATGTTTGACAGCAGTTATGAAGTTGGCTCTGGATTGCTCCGCTGAGTTGCCCGGAGACAGGACTAATATGAAAGATGCTCTTGCAACTTTGCTGAAAATCAAGAATCGCTTTGCCGCATGACCACCTAAAAAAAAAAGACCATATTCAGTATTTGTGGTTAGTGTAAAACAACGTATTATGTTAGATGCTTCAAAATTGGAGTCAAGTCCTGCAAAATAAGGAATGCCGGTAAAAACATAGGTGGAAGTAGGATATTTTTTTTAAAACTTAGTAAATCAATTGAGTTAGGTCAAGGGGTTTGAAAATCGGTGAAAATGACCTACATCGATTACGTTGTTCATAAGAGGTTGGATGTTTAAAAGATAGGGTGTTATGAATCCAAGTAGATTCATAATAACAGTAATCCATTGCTCAGAAATTGTGTTCAATTACAAGATTAAAGATAGGAAAAATGAGAAAATTAGGCTAAAAGACGAGCTACTCTAACCTAACTACAAACTAAATTCTGAAATTGCTTGCCTTTCCCGAGCCCCTAATCTGCTATTTATACTGAAATGACCAAGATCGTTCCATTATTATAATGTTGAAATTTAAAATAAATTAATTAATTAATAATCCACTAGCTAGTGTAAATCGCACCCAAATTTATTTAGAAGAAAAGGAAGAGAATAAAATATGTAATTTATACATCATGATAAATGATACACTGTACTCATAGATTAATATTTGTTTGGGTAAATAGCACTTCACCCCCTTGTGGTTTGGACATTTTGTACATGACCCCCTTATGGTATGAATTTAGGCACATAACCCCTTTGTGGTTTTGACATTTTGTACATGCCCCCCTTATGGTATGCAATTAGGCACATAACCCTCTTGCGGTTTTGAAATTTTGCACATAACCCCTATATGGTATGAAATTAGCACATAACCCCCTTAAATAGAAAACTGAAAAGACTAAATTACCCCTATCAAGTCAAAAAAATTTGTTTTAATTTAAAAATAATTATTCTATAAAATGAAAAGCTGAATGTATTTTTTTGTAAAATGAGAAATATAATATATTATTGTGTTTTTTTCATTTTACAAAATATAATAAAATTCATTTTTTTTTAAATGAGAAATATAATAACAAAAAAGTACATTAAGCTTTTCATTTTATAGAATAATTATTTTTAAATTAAAACAATTTTTTTTAACTTGATAGGGGTAATTTAGTCTTTTCAGTTTTCTATTCAAGGGGATTATGTGCTAGTTTCATGCCATAAGGGGGTTATGTGCAAAATTTCAAAACCACAAGGGGGTTATATGCCTAATTTCATACCATAAGGGAGTCATGTGCAAAATGTCAAAACCACAAGGGGGTTATGTGCCTAAATTCATACCATAAGGGGGTTATGTGCAAAATGTCCAAACCACAAGGGGGTTAAGTGCTATTTACCCTATTTGTTTTATCAAAAGATGAGGACATTTAATAAATATATATTGCATGGACCAACATTAGACGCATGTTTTCATTTGTAAATTACAAAAATCTCCCGAACTTAGGATAAATTACAAAAAACACTTCACATGTCCACAATTTTCAAAATTCTTCTGATTCTTGTTTTCAGCTTATACCGACTCCCTTACGGTGTCGTTTTTCACGGAATATTTTTGATTGGAGGGAACATTCTCAAAAAAATGCTTATTCTATACCTCTACAGGTATGACATTTCTGTATACAAATTTTTTAAAAGGTAAAAAATTATCCTCACAAGGGCTTTACACGGAATCTTCATTCTTCTTTAATTATCACAATTTTTTTGTATTACTATTAGCTCCTTGGGGATAATTTTTTTTAAAAAAACTTTAAAGCAGCACAAAGAAATGGCACATCTTTGGGGTAAATTTGGTAATTTGGGGAAATATTTCCTAGAATTAAAAAGATTCCATGAAAAAATCACATTGTAAGGGGACCGGTGTAAGACGAAAACAAACGTCAGGGAAATATTCATAATTACGGATGGGTTGGGATATTTCTCGTAATTTAATCTAAGTTTAGGGGGAGTTTCGTAATTTATCCTTCTCACCAATTGTGCTGGCTGGGACCCGAAACCATCAAAGACAGGGGCCCAACAGTTGGCTAAAAATCCATTACTCCTATCTTTCAAAGTCAACGCTGACTTGAAAACTTGGTGGTGGTTTAATGGCGTAACTACACAACTACTTCTTTCTCTGTACATAACTATGAAGTTCGGTTTATTTTTCCACGCTGAAATTTTTCAGATTTTTCAAGAAATGTCAAGTGTTATGGAAGATGGACATTTCCTTCGTCTTTTTACTGTCTTAATAATTACACTACACTGTCTGTTTATTTCCAGCGCCGCCGTTTCCGGAACCAACATCACCACCGACCAATCAGCGCTCCTCTCCCTGAAATTCCACGTCAGCTCAGACCCAACCGGCGGCCTGAGTAACTGGACCGTTTCGTCTCCCGTCTGCACCTGGGCCGGAATCACCTGCGGCGCGCGCCACCGCAGAGTAACTGCGCTCAACATCTCCAACATGGGCCTCGCCGGAGCCATCCCTCCCGAACTCGGAAACCTCTCCTTCCTCGTATCCATCGACCTGCGAAACAATACCTTCGCCGGAACCCTGCCGGAAGATTTATCCCGCCTGAGAAGATTGAAATTCATCAGACTCAGCTACAACAACTTCTCCGGCGAAGTTCCTCCCTGGTTTGCCCTGCTGCCTCAGCTTCAGCTCTTGTCCTTAAAAAACAACTCTTTCACGAACATGAACTCATTTTTCGATTCGTTCGCAAACGAATCGAAACTCGAAACATTAGACATGTCGTTTAATTCCCTGCAAGGTAGAATCCCTTCATCGATCGCAAACATGTCGAATTTAGAAACTTTAATTCTTTCGAACAACTTATTACGCGGGGTTATACCGCAATCCATCGGCAATCTCCGTAATTTGAATTGGTTGAACATCGAAGGAAACGAGCTCACGGGTTCTATCCCGTCGAGCCTCTTCAATGTCTCGACTCTCGAACTCGTGTCGTTTTCGCGGAATCGCTTATCCGGTTCTCTGCCGGATGATATGTGCATTGGAGTTCCATTTCTACAAGGGGTATATCTGTCTTTTAACAAGATAGGTGGGAATATTCCTTCGAGTATTTCTTCGTGCTCTCAGCTTCAAACGCTGTCGTTGTCGAATAACAAATTTAGTGGAGCTATACCTCGAGAGATTGCGAGCTTGGAGATGCTTCAGATATTATATCTTGGCTTCAATGAGTTGACAGGTAATATATGAATTAATTATCTGTATCTAATTTAACTTCATATACCAATTTAGTATCGAAATTCGACAGGCGAAATTCCATCGGAGATTGGTAAACTACAAAATCTCGGGTTCTTAGCCATGGAAAACAACTTTCTAAGAGGCCCTATACCGTTTGGCATCTTTAATATGTCGTTTCTGCAACGTCTTTCATTAGCGCAAAACGAGCTCGACGGGCCCATAGCAGAAGAAATCGGCAATCTAACCATGCTTACAGAGCTTTATCTTGGCCATAACAATTTCACAGGTGCAATCAAGATTGTAATTTTTTTTTTGTTTTGCACTTAAAGCTTGAGAAATGAATAATTTTATGATTAAGGAGATTAATTTTAATTGTATATTTTGCAGGTGCGATACCGCGCGGGCTCGGTAAACTTGCGTTAGAAATTCTAGACTTGGGAACTAATAGATTAACCGGAAACATACATTCGGATATTTTCAATATCTCAACATTGATATTGATTTCACTTACGTCTAACAGCTTCTCGGGCAAACTTCCAGCAAATGTAGGCGAATTTCTGCCAAATCTCGCGCAGCTTTTTCTCGGCCAGAACAATCTAGAAGGAGTTCTACCGAGCTCCATCGTGAACTCGTCGCAGCTCATGGTTCTAGATCTTTCCGTAAACAACTTCAACGGTCCAATCCCTAATTCCATAGGAAATTTAGAACTCCTACAAGTCTTAAACTTGGAGATGAACAATTTCACGAGTGAATCTGCATCGTCCGATTTGAGCTTCATCGCTTCCTTGACAAATTCCAGGTACCTAACTGAATTAGCAGTCAGTTACAATCCACTAAATGGCGTTCTACCTTCATCCATCGGGAATTTTTCTTCTTCCCTTCAAACTATTTACGCCTCCGATTGCAAAATCAAAGGCGGTATTCCAATCGAAATCGGTAATTTGAGTGGATTAGTGTCGTTGTATTTTTACGGAAACGATTTAACTGGATTTATTCCAACGCCACTCCATGATTTACAGAGCCTCCAAAGGTTATCTCTTGGAAATAATCGGTTAGTTGGATCCATATCGAACGATCTTTGCGCGTTAAACAATTTGGGAGCTTTGTATTTGAACGAAAATCAATTGACCGGTCAAATTCCCGAGTGCTTAGGAAATGTATCCACCCTGAGGAGCATACATCTTTATTCGAATAACTTGAGCTCTGTCGTACCTAATAGCATATGGAATTTGCAAGATCTTTTGGAGCTCGATATTTCCTCGAATTCAATTACGGGTTCTTTATCTCCCCAGATAGGAAATCTAAAGGCGGCAACTTTCATCGATCTGTCGATGAATCGGTTCTCGGACAACATTCCGACCACGTTCGGTGGTTTGCAGAAAGTGACTAATCTTTCTCTTGCATACAATAACTTCCAAGGTCCGATTCCCGATTCCATGGGTACAATGTTGAGTTTGGTTTCGTTGGACCTTTCCCATAATAAGTTGTCGGGAAAAATCCCAAAGTCGTTAGAGTCACTAAAACATCTCGAGTACTTCAATGTTTCCTACAATGAATTATCCGGAGAAATCCCTACAAATGGTCCTTTTAGTAATTTCACAAGCCAATCTTTTTCGTCCAACTTCGCATTATGCGGTCCTTCGAGATTTCAGGTGTCGTCTTGTCGAGAATCGCTGCACGGATCAAAGAAAAACAAAGTGCTCAAAGCTGTATTCATTCCCCTAGGCATTGTTATATTACTCTTCGTCGCCACCATAGCCTTTATAATGATTAGATACAGACGAAAAGAGAACCCTCCAGCTGTACCAGATATATCCACCTCAGCGCAAAGAATTTCTTATTACGACCTTCTACAGGCGACCGATCGATACAGCGAAGAAAATTTACTGGGGAAAGGAAGTTTCGGCTCGGTTTACAAAGGCGTGCTACAAGATGGGACCGTATTAGCCGTGAAGGTGTTCGATATGCAAGCTGAAGGCGCGTTGAAGAATTTCGAAGCTGAATGTGAAGTGCTGAAAAATCTCCGGCATAGAAATCTGACGAGAGTAATCAGTAGCTGCTCGAACGAGGAGTTCAAGGCGATAGTGCTGGAGTACATGCCGAACGGGAGCCTGGAGAAGTGGTTGTATTCGGACAGCTGTTTCTTGGACTTCGTGCAGAGGTTGGATTAATGATTGACGTGGCTTCCGCGTTGGATATCTTCATTGCGGTTACTCGACACCCGTGATTCACTGCGATTTAAAACCTGGTAATGTACTTCTCGATGAAGATATGGTTGCCCGTGTCAGCGATTTCGGTATGACGAGATTCTTGTCGGACGAAGAGAGTGTTACGCACACTCGAACCCTTGCTACACTTGGCTACATGGCTCCAGGTACGTATATATACTCGAGTTTTCATTCATTTTTTGTTTCTTGAAAAATGTTATTGAATTAGAGTAAAATTTATTACAGAATATGGATTGGAAGGCGTAGTTTCGGCGAGGTGTGATGTGTACAGTTACGGGATTATGGTTTTGGAGACGTTTACGGGGAAACGGCCGAGTGATGAAATGTTTGGCGGAGAAATGAACCTCAAGAAATGGGTTAAAGATTCGCGGCCTAACGGATTTAGAGAGGTTGTTGATGCTAATTTAGTAGGTCCGAACGAAGAGGGTTCCGGTAAGAAATTGTCGTGTTTGTCGCGTGTGTTCGAGTTGGCACTGAGTTGCTTAGCGGATTCTCCGGGGGAGAGGGTGAATGTGAAAGATGTTCTTGCAGAGCTAAAGAAAATCAAACTTCAGTTTTCTGATTCCTGATTTGTGAACTGAACCCCATTGTTTGGGCAAAGAATGGATTTTAGTGTAACGGTATTAACTACCGTTACCTTGAAACGGTGTCGTCGAGATCTCAGAGGCGCAAATCACTTATAGAATTTTGTTTTTAATAATCTGCGTCTTTGGCTTGTTAGGTAGGATTGGCTGCGTCCAATCGTAGAGCGACGCGTGGCACTCATCTTCATATATTTGATGTACATTTGATTGATTTAAATACAAGGTAAATTACAACCGTTCTTGAATTATGGTCAAATTACCAAAACGCCCTCCTATTTTGGTAATGACAATCACCTCCCAACTATGTATTATCTTACGAAAATATCCCTTCAGACGTAAATATAAGGATGTTAAATCGGTTAAAACGAACCGAAATTTCGGTACGCCAACATTTCATACCGTTTACCGAACTGAATATACGATTTGGTTCAGTAAATAACCGAATTATATAAATTTTATGTAAAAATATTTTTAAAAAATGAGATAATTGTATTTACCCAAATAAGAGGGTTTTTTTGTAATTTGGTCATACCTCAGGGGTGGCGGTAGCTTGCCCGAAATACAATTCATCTTTCTCTCTTCTTAACATATAGAAAATCAAGAACTGAGAATCTAGAATGAAAAATATTTGAAATTTTTTAGGGTTTCAATCTTACAATATTTGTAAGAGAGAAAAAAAATATTTACTTTTAAAGGAAAGAGAAGAAATGAAATTAAGAAAGACCAAATTGTTGGTAGTTAAGTCGGTTGAAACAGGGCCCGCGAAAAACATACCACACCTGAGCACTACTGCAACCCCATTTGAATTCTTGAAAAAAAAAAAAAAAAAAAAAAACAGTGTTTGGTAGATAGGGTAGAGTTGTTGAAGATGTGATTCATCGTCTATTGTATGTATTAAATAAAAATATATCCCCTATATTTTAAATTTTTCTATCTGAGTTGACTCAGTTTATAATACGTGCATTGCATACACATATATGTTTTTACTTACATGGTGATGCGCACGACTCAACACCCACCACCAACTTTAACTTGACTTGCAATCCATGCCTTCATTCTTTTTCGATGTTTCCTCCTTATCTAATTTTCCCACCAAATTTTTTTCTTATTTTTCTTGTCTGGTACAATATTATCACACAAAAATTTCCGATTCCAATATGCGAATGGTGGAATGACGCAAGTACGATCATAGCGTCTTAATCCGAAGCATCCATTTTTTTTCCGAAGAAATGGGAAAGCAAGATTCTCCAAAAAGCCCTCGACCTCGTTCTTTAATTCCCGACGAGTCCTCCGGTTTGAATGACTGCCAGCTAAGATGGACGGAGATGCTAAAAAATAGCGATCCTTCTCTCGGTAGAAGGATTTCTCATTGGGAAAAATCTACGTTGGTCGAAAATTTCAAGAATGATAATAGTGTTTTAAAGTACACTTCTTTTAAAGGAGTTTGTTCCGGTAAAAGGCAAATACGGTGGCTTCGTAGGCATACGAGGTCGATTATATTCACTTTTACGTTGATGGGTTTTTTCCTCCTCTTAGATTCGTTGATGTTCTCTCTTTTCGATCCGAAATTTCTCAAGAGTAGCCCACCTCCAATAAACGAACATTCACCAAAGGTACATACAATACAGGCCCCGAACATCGAGCATACGACGAGGAATTAATCGAGCTTAATTTCATCTAGACACTTTGTTTTTCTTTGCTTGTATGTAGGAAAGAAACGCCGGATACGAATATGACCAAGAAAAAAGCCCGGTGATGTATTCTCGATTATTACATATGGCTGCTGTTTCTCTTACGGAGGTCTGATTCAAAAACCCTGCAGAAATACTTACTAGTTACTACTCGTAATGCTTGCATTATAAACCTCGTATAAATATCATAGTTCGATGTATTAATTGTACAGAGAGATGTGGATCGAGAAGAGACGAAATTTTGGAAGGAATCGTATCCTCAGGTAGCTATGTGGAAGCCCTGTGCAGATAAGAAGCTCAAAAGGTACATTTACTAGATTATTTTTCGATATATTAATTATACAGAGAGATGTGGATCGAAACGAGACGAAGTTTTATTTACTACTATTTTGTCTATGATTGGATTTCATGGTAATTTACGAGAAATTTTGGAAACATGTTAAATAACCGTTTATAGTTGTCAGGGCAGGGACAGTGAACAACCGAACCGGTTTTATTTTGGTCAGTGCAAACGGAGGACTAAATCAACAGAGAGTTGCCGTAAGCGAATTCTTTATAACCTCTTTTTTTTTTTTCTTCTTCCTAATTATCGAATTTTTTTTTACGTTTTTTACGCAGGTCTGTAACGCTGTTGCAGTAGCATCTCTACTAAATGCAACATTAGTGATTCCGAGATTTCTCTACAGCAACGTATGGAATGATCCCAGGTGAATCCACGTACCAGCTATTTCACCATTTTTTCGATATAAAAATTGCAGTATTTTTACAAGTGTCTGCGATTGCAGCCAGTTCGACGATATTTATCAAGAAGAGACTTTTACGAACATTTTAAAGGACGATATCGATATTGTTAAGGAGCTGCCTTCGTATCTGAAATCAATTGATCTCAAATCCATTGGGAGTTTAGTAAGTTAGTTGCCTAATTCAACTGTTAACTGCTTTTTCAAGAACCGATGTCTTAACAAATTCGGCTTTTCAGATAACAGATTCAGACCTTGCTAAGGAGGCAACGCCAGACGAATATATAAATAATATACTTCCGATTTTACTGCGTAATAAAATCGTTCATTTTCTCGGATTCGGCAATCGACTTGGCTTCGAACAGTTGCCTTCTCGTCTTCAGGTAAAGAACAACCTCAACTTATTTCTGATGTTTTATTACAAATTTTTTTTTTAACTTTCTTTAGTTTGTTTTTGCAGAAACTTAGATGCAAATGTAACTTCCACGCTCTAAAATTCGCACCAAAAATTCAGAAAACGGGCTCGTTATTAGTGAAGAGGATAAGAAAATACGGGACCGAAAGGAGCATGTTAGAAAATCAGCTTCTCGGAAGCTTCATCTCAAATGTCGTCCCTATTAAGAAAGAAGCAAGCCCTTCAAAATACCTCGCTCTGCATTTACGGTTCGAAGTCGATATGGTGGCTTACTCCATGTGCGATTTCGGAGGTGGTATAAACGAGACTAAACATCTTCAGTCTTACAGAGAAGATCATTTCCCTCTGCTCCTCGAACGCTTGAAAAAAACCGAGTACGACATATCTAAAAACCCTCAAAATTTCAACCGTCTATTTTTTTTTCTTTTTCATGATTTTTATTGTTTTTAACGTTTAGCAGACCAATTCTTCCGGAAGATTTGAGAAAGATGGGGCGATGCCCATTGACACCAGAAGAAGCAGCTCTAGTTCTAGCTGGTCTCGGGTTTGACCGTGGGACTTATATATATCTAGCCGGGTCCCACATTTACGGAGGAAAATCAAGAATGCTTCCTCTAAAAAGTCTCTACCCTAACCTAGTAACCAAAGAGGATCTCCTCTCACCGAGCGAACTCGAACCTTTTAATAATTTCACTTCTCAGGTAACTAACTAATTAGCCATTTAACCGTGTCATTTTCAGTTATTTAACTAACAACTAATTACCTGATAATTTTTTTTTACTGATATATATAGCTTGCGGCTTTGGACTTCATTGCATGTGCCGTTTCTGACGTATTTGCAATAACGGATTCCGGGAGCCAGCTGTCGAATCTAGTGTCTGGTTTCCGAACATATTACGGTGAAGGAAATTATCCCACATTGAGGCCTATCAAGAAGAGGCTAGCAGCAATTTTGCAAGAAAACAGCACTATAAAATGGGGTAGTTTTGATAACAGAGTAAAGAAGATGATCGAAGAAGGCCAAAGAGTTCGTACCAGAGAATATGGTAGAAGCATTTATCGACAGCCGAGATGCAAAGAATGCATGTGCAAGCATCACTAATAGTACTTCTTCTTGCATATATTGGAGCCGTATTACTTTTTCGCGCGTGTGTGTGTATATATATAGATATTGTTTTCACTCGATAGATAATATAAATACACGAAACGAAGACAATAATTTTAGTTTTATTGGATTAAACTCGAATAACCCAAATAAAGACGAGTTCAAATAAATGAAAAAATTAATGACAGATGAGACTAATCTGTCACACACTAAAAAACCACCGAGGAGTCGAAAACATGCGGACTCACTCACTCTCACTCTTTAACTCGATAATCGTTTTTCTTCAAGAATGAAGATTGTGTCCGATCATGAAGGAGGGAAGAATCGGTTGAGATTGAACGGAAGAGTGTAGAACTCTTCGTTTCGGCTATCTCCTTTGAATGCTCTGAACTTAGCCCACCAAGGCATTCCTCTATCCACAGCGCTATCCTTGTACTCGAGCGTGTTGTCAAGAAATACGGCTACTAGTAAGCCAACTGTCGGTGAGGACAAGAATATCGTGTTGAGGAAATCGTTGAACTGCAATTACGATTTTTTTTTATTATGTTAAATTAGGAAAATTTAATATTTATTATTATTAATTATGATAGTAAATGAAAAACTCACCCATCCAGCCTTTGTATGAGAAGGTCCGTGAAGAGCAGCGGCGGTATATTCCCTAAAGTACTCGGGAATCGACAAACCGAGGAAGAGGGAGACACCCGTTATGAAGAGGTTTCTCATTGAGTTCATGTTTGTGAATTGTAAGAACGATAATCCCACCGAAGCTGGAAAAAATATTCGTAAATACATATCATGAAACCAATCGTTCAACGAAGAATAGAGATGTACACAAGAAACTGGAGATGGAAATACGTACCGACAAGACCGAACATAACGCAATATACAGCTGCGAATATTGTGAAAGGTATTGATGCAAATAGAGCTCCGAATTTCCCTACACAAATCGAACAAAGTTTTTTTAAAAATCAAATTGATATATTATCTTCTTTTTTTAAAGTTACATAACAGTGTAAGTATTGTTTGCTTACCCAAAATGGAGAAGAATATCATGAAACCAGCTGCAATTTGGATTACACGTCGACTGCCGACTCGCGTGGTTCCAAGAAGACCAATATTTTCCCTGATTCAAATAAAAAAAATTAAACATATATATCATAACAGGCTTGAAGCAATAAAGTCGGCAGAAAACACTTACACTGAAACCGTTGATCCAGTACCGGTACCGAACAGTCCATCCAACAAGATTCCGATTCCCTAATAATAAAATAAATTTGGTTATTCCAATATACATACATACTCCAGAAATTGAAACATAATTCAGAGTCATTTTAAATTTACAAACCTGCCACCCGATTCCACGGCTAAGAACATGGGCAGGAGGTGGTGTGGCGCTCGCTAAACGAGATGCCGCCTTATACGCTCCCGTTGACTGCAATTATAAATACACATTTTATTTTTTTCCTATTACACAAATAAGTAATTTAAATTCAGAAATATTCGAAAATCCAGAATGTTAGTTAGTTATACCTCAATCAAGGAAACTAGTACAGCAGCCATCATTCCAAATGCATGTCCAGCATCGAATGTCGGTGCCCCCCATTGAAGCGGATAAGGAATTTTGATCCTATTCGAGCAAAAATATTTTATTCTCCTTTTAATTTTCCCCATAAAGAAAAAATAAAGAGACGATAGTAATCGATATTCGAATACTAACCACGGAGCAGAAGAAATAAGGTTGGCTTTGTCGGTACGACAGTTCCGCTGAGTCAACTCGGGGTGGTGCTTGTACGCACCGCTAGCGGTGAGGAGGTGCGCGTAAGCCCATATAACGGTGACCGAAATCACAAGAGCAAATCTTTCCAAGACAGGGATTTGCTTTGTTTGGAAGTGCTTCAAATACTGTTTTTTTTTTTTTGTAACAAAATCAAAACATCATTACATCACAATTCACTGTTTCATTAAATATCCATTCATTAGTAATAACACCACACACTCACACACCTGGGAGAATGCAACGAATAAGATGAACATCGGAATTCCGATTTCCACGCATCGGCCAACCTGATCATAAATATATATATATTTAGTTGAAGCAAATTATTTGCATAAATAAATTCGAATTTTCGACGAACGTACCACAGGGAAGCCTCTATCGAAGAGACCAAAACCCACTAGAGAAATTACTGGAACCATTCCAAGTGGACTGAAAAACCTGCAGAAAAATGTTTTTTTTTCACCCCAATTAATTTACAGAGATAAAAATTAACAGTAAAAAAAAAACTAAAAAAATATATATATACCTTGAACATATAGCCCACAGCTGACTGTATCCCAGAATAATCTGCACGCTTGATGCTACTATAAGTGCACCTTGTATTGCTCGCATTGTACTCAGAAATCTCTAAATTTTTTTGGGGGGAAAATAATAATTCGTTAATTGACAAAGCTATCATTTTTGGGGCAAAGTTTGAATTTTTTTTTTTATAAATTGGCAAAGTTCGGATTGACTAAGGTAATAAAATTAATTTGAAATGCTAATGATTGGATACCTGATGAGGGTCTATGATTCTTTCCAAAGAAGGATCATGAATAATTGAAATTATAGGCACCAAGAAAGCCCATGAACCTCCAATTACAGTAGGCAATCTTGTTCCAAACAACGTTTGCAGCACTGTGTTTATTCCTCCGACAAACAGCAATGTCTGAACTACTCTCACTTTATCATCCTGTTAATTCATTAATTTGAAAAAGAAAAAAAAACCCAAAAAAGTAAAAGTTATTACAGAAACACAAACCATAAGAATCTTGAAAAATAAAAAATCAAGAATGACACGCGATTGCTTACGTCACTTCCGCCCATTAGAGGTACAAGAAAGGAAGGAATCATCACCGCAGTACCCAATGCCAGAATATAATGCTGGAATCCAAGTGCTATTGCTTCCCCTGTTTTTTGTTATTACATGCAGAAATCAAAGAAATGAAAGTTGAGTGATTTATTATTAATTAAAAATATTAGGAAAGATGAAGAAGAATTAAGTGGTGTAGGGTACGGTACCCCAAGAAGGATTGGAATCGATGCAATACTCTAATCCTTGAAGCTGGTCCATGGGAGCATGACTTATTTCCTCTGGTTTTACTGCAGCCATTGATGAAAGCTCACTTCTTCTTCTTCTTCTTCTTTCTCACAGCTAAATCGATTAAGTTCAGACTACTAGGGTTTTGAGTTTCTCAACGAGATACAAAGTAGAAACAAAAAGCAAAAGAAGAATTGAATTGAATAGAGAAAAAAGAAAAGTAGAAAAAAGGTGATGGAGAAAGCTGGAGTCAAATGTGATTGGACCAAAACAGTGTGTGTATGTGTGTGTGTGTGTGTGTATTCAGAGAGATTCAGAGAGAGAGGGGAGAGAGAAAAAGTGCAGTTTGCTGAAACCCACTCTCGAGCTTTGATTTGCAGAGAGAGGAGGGAGTGAGTTCTTGATTTGCTTTGTTTGCTGTAGCTCGACTTTTGTTATGATGGTGAATGGGGGGGAACGTTGGGTAGTGTGAATTACGAGATTGCCCCTGAAGGAACAGCCAAACGAGATGTTACCGTTGGACCCTGGCTTTCTGCGCTGTACTTTTCTAGCCATATTTAATTCTTTTCTCTGCTTATTAGGTAATTTTTCAGACATGTCTACATTTTGAACTTGCCTGGAAAAGAAAATCGAAGAGGAATCTATCTATATAAATAAACATTTCCTTCTTTTATTTTTTTTATAAGATTTTATATAAATTATAGAATCTCAATTTTTTCTTGATGGTTTATTTCAAGTAAAAAAAAAAAAAAAAAATTGAGGCAGAATTAAAATCAAATAATAATAAAACATTTAATATGTATTAAAATAAAAATTGATTTAAATAAGCATATGATAATTATGACATAATCTAGGTACCTGAACAATTAACTTAATTCGTGCATCGAAGAATATGACCCGGAGCATAATTTAAATTACACTTTATAGAAATTAGGTTATAATCTGTCTCTAGGCAAATGTACTAAGGTCTTTAAAACGATATGCATTTTGAAAAATAAGTTAATTTTAATTATAAAATATTTATTTAAATACCTTATACCTTAATTTTGATTTTTTATCTCAAACATAAGAGTTAATTTATTGAAGAAAATTTCATATATTAGATTTTGGTTCTAATTTTTTATAAGTTGAAGGGAGTGCTTTCATGTGACTAATATGTTCATTTTTTATATTTAAAAATATAGAATATACCATTGCCAGTGAAAAAGTCGTAATTATTTATTTATTTATTTATAAAAAGAATATGTTTTAATTGTTTTGATATGGATTGAATTCGAGGATCCGACTCACCACCTACGTGCGTGTGTGCGCGCGTGAGAGAGAGAGAGAGAGCAGAAACAACAAAACCAACGTCTTTCTTTGCAGTACAAAGACCAAAAACTATCTTGATATTCGAGCCCGCAAATGGTCTCTCCTACTCTCTACTGTTAATAATGCTCAAGTTCATACTTTTTGGCTACAGACCGAAGAAGCGGAATTCATGGCATTTAAACCTCCTACCTGTCCAACTGCTGCCCAACAAACATTCAAATAATCACCACCAACTTTTGGTTTAAGTGGTAAAATTAAATTACAATGTCATGATTTTTTTTTTTTAATTTTTTATTTATAAATACAATGTGACGAAAAATATTGTTCTTAATACGAGACTTTGGCTCAGTCACACGACATATATAGATTTATTTACGTTACTCTTTTTGTACGTTTTTATCGGTACAGTCTATCAACCGTATACCATTTTCTTTCAAAAAAAAAAAATCAATTAAAACTTGGTTAATACTAATATGTACAATTAACCTATGCAACATAAGCGATTAGGCGATTAATAATAGACCTTAGGAAATGATGAGATAGTATAATAATTAATACCAATACTTAAAATCCTGAGTCTTCACTAATGATGAGAAAGAAGGGGACATAATTAATATGTCTTGCAAATAAATATATTATTTGGTAATGAATAATTGAAGAGGTGAAAAAGCACTAAAATTAAAATAAAATTGATGGTGTAAATCGAGGTAATGAATTAGGATAAAGAAAGTAAAGTCATACGTACCTTACTTTTCGTATGAAAAAGACACCACCTTTTATTAGCTGAGAGGCTGGTTACATATTATGAAAATAAACCATAAACAAAGGTATTCAGCCAACTTTGAATAAACGAAGCAGCAAACGCAAATAATTTCAGAGAAAAAAATTTACGATTTTAGGCATATGAACGGCAAAATATAACCTGAGCCCCCGTGAAAGTTCCTGGACGAATTCCCCCGTTCTTGTCCTGGATAAGGAAAGTATAAACCGAACATCCTCCATAAAAAAAAATATATATATATATATATATATATCAAGTATTTAACAATGTGGATCGAACACCAGCTTATAATTTAAAGCCTAAAGGACCTCTCATCCATAATTAAATTTTGGAAAAATGGTTCGTTCATGCGTATGTATAGAATGCATTTCCTCAAAACCGGAAGTATTTAGCATACAAAAAGACAAGTCTATGATCTTCTCTCAAACTTCTTATCGCTCGATCGCTTATCTTCTGCCTCCTTTCTTCTTTGTTGCCTGTAATCATGATGATTTGACTTACTTAAATATCCAAAAACCGAACATAACATAAATCAATAAGACCAGCTTTAGAAGCAGAATAAATTCCTAATGAAAGAAAAAAACTTACGCAAAAGCAGAGTATCCACTACCAGCTTTGGCAGCAGAGACGAGTGCAGCATGTGCACTAAGAGCGGACAGATTTTCCTGCCCTCCAGTGGAACTCCTTTGATCAACATCCACCTTAAACAAAATAAAAATAAAAAAATTAGACGCACTCATCTCAAACTCGTACTTTTCTTTCCAGAACTGCAAACCATATTAAAATAATCCAACCTTATCCCACTTTGACTTTTTGTTCTGTCTACCATCCCGAGCTGTGACTTCCGAAGTTGCTGGTGTTACATTTAACAGCCCACCAGAAACAACAGCTAATCCTAGAAAACAAAGAGACCAACGGTTTAAAGAAAAGAATAAAATAGGCAACTTTTTAAATTCACAACAAAACGAGATGCTGATGAGTAGTTTATTCAAGTACCTGGAGTTGGCATACTTATTTTTGGTGTAGGAACAACATTTCCTGGCTGTATTCCTCCAGAAGCAAAATCTAACTTCGGAGTTTTCTTCCTCTCTTGCTCCCTCCTTTCCGTTTCCCGCCTCATGTCAGCTTCTACTTGCACAAACGAAAGTTTAAAATTAAAGATTATATGTTTCTATGAATGAAAATATGCAACTACTGTATGGGAAAGTCAAAAAAGGCAGCAATCACGAGAGTTTTGATGGATTCAACAACAAAGTAATAGGCCATGGTGCAAATTCACCATTACATAATTCATATGATTTTTTTTTAAAACTACGACAACCCACAACACAATAGGTGGATGGTTAAGAACGGATTCTTTGAGGTGGGTGGAGGGGGTGCTATGTCAATGCACCAAAAACTTGTATGAACATTGTCTCTCTTTTTAAAGGGACAAAAGTACTCAACAACTTGTTTTTCTATTGCAAGGTTCAGAAATTGACCTATAGTCAGCTAAGCTATCCGCCCATCACATATACCCATTTATGATCACATTGACTCATAATTCAGCATGATCCCATCGATGCATCTAACACCCAAATATGTGAAGCAAGACGGAGATGCTCAGACAGTGTTCGCTGTTTGGTAAACTTAATGATTAAGTTTCATATCCAACTTTCTAAAGCTTATAACTCGATTTCCTAGCAAATGTTTCAGGACAGTTTATAAACAGTAGAATATCTTTTCCATATTTGACAGAATATTAACTCAACAAAGCATCCCTAAATCATATGAAAAGACAACATCATCATAAAATTTGCAAGTTTACAACAAAACTGACAGACAAATTAGCCACTCCAACACGGTTAAACAAAATCCAAGGACACTAGAAATGGGTCATACCTATTTCATCACAGAAGTCGCTTTTGTCATATCCATGAGGGTCAAAAACATCTTTATGGAAGCAAGATCCTATCTGATCAATATCTTGGTACGTCACGGCATGCAGCAAGAAGTCAGGGTTACGGTATTCCTTTCTATTCCGAACTTCTGCATTGAAGCTTCTTCCAGTGGTCTTCTTCAACGCAAGAAACTTTATAATCTTCTCCTGCAGCAACAAAGCACAACACAAAAAGAAATGGATATGAGGGAAAAGCTGAACCATAGAGGTAAGAAAAGAAAAGAAAACTAGAATACTTCAACAAATAGACAAAGTTTACAGAGAAAAACGAGTCATATAAATTAACACTTCTTCTTCAGCTGAAACCTAAATGTAATAGTTTAATAAGGAGCGGGGATTTACTTGCAATTCTTCGGAGCATTTAGCCTTGGGACGTGGGGAAAGAAACTTCTCCAATGGATCAACATCTTTTTGTTCTTCAACAGGCACCATTTCAGCATCTTCAGTCTCTAAAGATCCAGATTCATTTTGTGCGTAATTCATGGCATCTAATTCAGATTGGTCAATTTGCTCCAATGACTGAGGGGGCGTTGCTTGAGTTCTGGGTGTTGGGAACCGCACTATTCCAGGTGAATTATTTTCTCGAAAGTCACCTAAAGCACAGACAATAAGTACAGATACTATAAGTACACCCAACGAACAAAGATGGATTCTATAACATAAACGGTAATATCAATGAACAACTAGAACAACCGACAGCTATAAACCTGTAATCCAATAAAACTTCGTTTTCGGATTTCAAATATTCAAGATCATCAGAAGTTTTTAAAATTATTAATTCTCTTGCCTCATCCGAACAATTTAATTCACTAGAATCTAATTTCTTAAGAATCATAGCTCCCTTTTTCTACTTTACCAGTACTCTTCAAGAGTTAAATTTTCTCAAACAAACTATTATGCTGGGAAATCACATACCTTCACTAGTTCGAAGCAGCTCACCATACATTACTCGACCAGTCGCCGGTATTTCACCATCCTACAATTACCAATGAATAAATCAAAAAAATGTAAAAATTAGAAAGGAAATTTTCATGAATTTAAGCGTGTCGAAACAACATCACAAACCTCATGTTCCGGAGATATTGCACCCTCTTCATGCCCATAATCCACAATAGTCAGACGATTCTTCTGACTCTGAACAACATTTGTATCTAAACCAACCGTTTGTTGCAGCTGCTGCTGTTGAGGCGAAAAAAGAGAAAGCTGTGGAGTTGCAGATGCCGAAGAAGTACCATGGTTCAAACTGTTACCCAGACTAGAATCTTCTTCACGAGGATTCTCCACCTCGTCATCGATATCTTCCATTTCATCGTCTTCACCGCCATACATAGATAGCAGCGCTATACCCTCCGACGCTCTCTTCCCCGATGCCATTCCCCCAAATTGACACCCTAATTTAGGGTTTTTTCTGATAATTTTCTTACTGAATCTGAATCGCAAACACCTTTCTTCGCGTGAGAGTGTCTATAATTTAGAAACTCGACGACAATTTGCAGAGTTTTAGGGCTTCGATTTTGAATCGGGAAACCTCAGGGGTTTTCGTTCGAGCTATTCCACGAAATAAAATTTGAAGAACTCCAGCGTTAACCGGAGTACTTAATAACCAAAGTCGCTTTTATTTTCTTCGTAAGAGAAACGCGACTCTGAAAATCGCTATTTTGATTTTTGCGCCATCCTAAATCCAATAAAACGTTTGGGCTCAACGCGCCAACACAAGCCCAGGTTCAAGGAAGAAGCCCGAATCGGTAATTCCTTCATGTAGTCTTTATTCAAGTCGGCCCACAAAGTTTCTTGGGTCAAAATTAGTCCAAATCAAATCTAAACATAGATTAGTAGGAAATTTGCAAAATATTAATTACAAGTAGAAAAACTGTATTTGGCTAGTAAAAAGTAATGTGCTTGCGCCAACAAAATTGACTATTATCTTATTAACAACTATATATATATGCATGTAACGAAAATGGCATTTGCTACACGTAAGTGATGGCCTAATGAGTCTGTGTCAATCGATAGGTGGAGTTTGTTCACATATTCTCTCGTATGATTTGAACACTATTATACGAGAGTGTAAATTTTTTACTCAGTCCATCTATATGGTTGACTGCGGGATCCTTAATTATATATAAAAAAAATGGTATTTGGTGGAATCAAACAAGTAAAAGAGCACACATCCCACTTCATGATGAATGGTCCCTTCTCTTCAATGAAAAAAAACAAAAAACAAGAATGAAAAATGGCAATATTCTTAAATATTCTGTCTACCATAAACTCTTTGCTAAAGATTGTCCTTATGCACTTTAATGCAATGGAATATCGCTTTTATCCACCTTTGGCTTATTACAGCGAATATTATAAAAATCAAAGAGGATTAAAGCTATATATATATATAAATATAAAAAAGAAAGATAAAATAAATAAAAGAGCAAACAAACAAAGCAAAAGAAATTCATTAAAGACAGAAGAAAAAATCACATGCAAAGACGTAAATGATGGGTTAATAGACAACAAGTGTTGGATAAGTGGGGAATCTTTTTTTTCCTTGTCTTATACACACATGACACACCTTTAATAAATTTTGGTAACATTTGAAAGAAAAAGAAAAGGATAAAATTAAAATTAATAACTCCACTAACTATATAAAATTGTGACTCGGATGTATGTCTTTTAACAAACCCAGGACTTGCTGCATTGTGGGCCTCTTCCCCGGCATCTCCGCCGTGCACAAGTACCCAACTCGGAGGCACTCCACCATCTCACTCACCGAGTCGCCGCCGCTCCTCAGCCTCGAGTCGAGCGCGTTCTCCGCTTGCCCATCCTTCACCAATTTTCTCGCCCAGTCAACGGTCTCGCTGGAACCGGATTGACCAGTCAGCAACTCCACCAACACGACACCAAAGTTGTACACGTCATCCTCGGTGGACCCACCAACTCGGTCCTCCCGACTCAGCGCGAAATCAGTGACACGTGGCTCGAAGTCGTCCGCCAATAAGATATTGGACGCCACTAAGTGGCCGTGCACCACAGGCTTCGACCGTGCGTGGTGGAGGTAGGCCATCCCACGCGCCACCCCGACGGCGATGCGGTGGCGCGTGTGCCACTCCATCTTCTCCGGCGAGGCGCTGTGGGCCCCGTTGTTTCGGATCTCCCACGTGTCGGTGCTCCAGTCCTCCACGTTCGGCGCCCCCGTCGGGAGTTCATGCAGCCACCGGTGGAGGTCGCCGTTGGCCATAAACTCGTACAACACCAACTTTTCCTTACCTACACGTAAACACAGACAAACAAACAATCAATCAATCAACTGTAATAAATTCCCTCATTTAATTCTGATGTTTCAATTCATTCAATGCAGAGTCCCCCCTTGTCAAAGGTTATTTATTACTCCGTCGCAAAAATATCTACCAATTATCAAGATTAATCAGAAATTACTGCCAATTATATTAAAAAAAAAAAAAATCAAAACCAAGAAATTAATTAATTAATTGCCGTATAAAATAAAACAGGGCCGCATTTTATTTTCTGAAGCATGCATCAAATCACATTTAAAACTTCTACAGACATACATACGTCAAAAGATTGACTTTTTAATTCCAACAGCGACTCGAGAATCGAAGCATTTTCTTACAGCAGGTTTAAAAATTGAATCTTGCACCTATATATTTATTTATTTATTTACTACTAGTAATCATATCAACTGTAAAAAGATGTCTGTATATATGTATTGGCATTTACTCAGAATCCACTTCTCACGTGAATCATCATTAAATATTTGGTAGCTCAAGTAATAATAAAAAACGCGAAATAAGACAGAAGAAAAAAAAAATCTGTGTACGTACCTGCAATACAGTATCCAGAAACAGGCAGCAAATTTGGGTGTTTGAGCCCTGAAAAGTCTTCGAACATGGCCACAGCTTCATCATGGCTCAGCCTCCTCGCGTTCTCCAGGACCTTGATCGCCACGTGGATATCTCCAGGCAGCACGGCTCTGTAGAGGGGCCCACACCTCCCCTCCGCTAGCAGTGATTCCTTGCCGAAGTGTGACGTGGCGGCTATCAGGTCCTTGAACGTGAAGTTCATCAATGGCTTCTCGAACATCACCACCGGAGCTGAAGTGGGCTCTTTGATGTCGGCCACCCACGACGAACCGGACTCGGTCTCGAACGAAAACGGGCCGGATTTCTCGACCCGGAATGGGATTTGCCCGATTGGCTTCGAGATTGACCATTTGTTCTTTCTCGCCGCTTTTCTCTTCTTGCACATGCAGAATATCAAGACACCGATCATCGCCAGTACTAGAAAAGACGACGCTAAAGATGTGGCCAAGATTAGATTTTTTCTGAATTTTGATGATTTGGGTTTCTTTTCCTCGATGGGTTTAAGGTTTATTTCTGTGTTTTTGGGCGGCGGTTTGTGGGGTGGAGGAGTACTAGGTGTACGAGGTTTGATGTGTAGGTCAGGTGTGGTGGTTGTGTTGTTCAAATTGATTAAATTTCCGGCATGAATAAACGCAGATTCACCAAATTTTTGAACTTTTTTTGTGTCCAAAAACCCAGAGAAGTTATTGAACGAGATGTTCAAGAACTTGAGATTAACCAACGGTGGGAAATCAGCAGGAAAATTGCCAGTGAAATGATTGTTCGAAACATCTAAGTATTTCAAGAATTGAATACCGGAAATCGGCTTTAAATTCCCGGAAACATTGCAGCCGGAAATATCTAGAGATTCAAGACTGTTAGTTAAGTTGGTGAACCAAGAGGGAAAGATGGTATGGAAATCGTTGTGTGAGAGATTAAGATAGTTGAGATTAGGAAAGCTTGAAAAGTAAGTGAAGTTCTTGAACCTATTAAATGAAAGATTGATCTTCCGAACCGGCGAGGCGGGTTGTTTGAACAGCGAACCCGGTTTAGGAAGGCCGACGGCGCCGCCGAGCCGGTTCCTGGAGAGGTTGATTTCGGCGAGGCTGGGGAGGAACCATATGAGCGGAGAAACGGGGCCGGTGAGGGAGTTGTTGGAGAGATCTAGTGTACGAAGCTCGGTCATGTTTTTGAGGAATTTCCATGAGATTGTTCCGGTTAGGTTTCTTGATGAGAGGTTTATTACAGAGATTGGTGGGTTTGAGCAGTTGGTTGTTGTTGTTAGAGAGTGGTGGTTGTCGGAAAACCAGGAAATGTTGAAACCGGAGACGGAGGCGAATGCTTTGGCTAGAAAAACTCGGTCTGTACTATTGCATGGTGACGTGGATGATTCTGCTGCAAAGATGATTGTAAGTAGAAGCATGAATTTGAAGAGGGTTTTCATGGTGGGTGGTGATGGTTTTTTTTTTCTTTCTTCAAAATCTGCTGATATCACTGGTCTTGAATTCTCATGGTGATTTGAGTGAGTGTGTGTGTGTGAGAGAGAGAGAGAGAAAAAGGTAGAGAGAGAGAGAGAGAGAGAGGGTGGATAGGTATATGTATGCTAGTGGCGCATTATGTAATAAGTTGATGTTCTGCTATTCGTCAACTATTAATACACATACATACACGAATTATATTGTGGAAGAAAAAACAGAACCACTTGAAGAAAAGATTATATTTATTTATTTATTTAGATATAAATTTATTATTTTAATTTATAATTTTAAGTTATGTTAATAGATTTTTCACATATGAAAGTGAAAATAATTGAATGTTAGAAAGTGGATTTGGACACTAGCAGGCGACTTACTCCATAAATTGGATCTGGATTTGTTCATCCCATCCTCCATCAAACGTGATTTTCGCCTTAATTCTTACTCTTTTTTTTTTTTGTTGGTTTGAATAAAATAATAAATAGGATTTAAAATAAATAAATTTGGTGGGATGGGTCATAGCTTTTTACCTAACCCCATACAATCCAACCCCAAAATTCCAAGAAGAATAATTGATCAAGAAACAATCTCTGACCCGTAAATAAGTAGGCCCAATTATGAATCTTTCGTATTTTAATACTTAAATATAGAATTCGAAATTTAAAATAATATGGCCCATGGGCTTGAAACACCAGTATATTTCTCCATAAAATGAGGGCTTTTTACTCTTAATGGGCCTTTCATGGACAAACCCAAACCCAAACCCGAAACCGAATCCGAATCCGAATCCGAATCCAAAATTCGGTAGCACGTTTTTTGTTTTGTAAGGTAAACACGTTTAATATTCAGCAGCCTATGTACGTAAATGACACTTTTTAAATGATACGACTGCACGTTTACTTAGCAAAAGCTGCTTTCAAGGCTGATGACGTGTCTATTAATCAGCACCGTCCCTATTGGGGATCACCGTTGACCAACAATGATACGTCTCTTTTGTTTTGAATTTTAAAATTTCAAAATAGTAGTACCATTTTAATATTTATTAGTAACACAAAATTAAATCATAGTTAATATTTACAATTATCTCCACCAAATTTTCCAGATCTTGACCGCCCAATTACTCCAAATTGTACTCGGAAATGACATTCGATTATCATGGACTTTGGAATTGATAGGTTAACTAATTATAAGGTGTGTGTATAAGTATTATTGGTGGAGTACTCATTACTTATATTTCACTCCATGTATATGTTGTTGTTACATCGTTGAGGGCGCTCCGAGATTAGTCGGTCAGCCCAATATTGTTGAAGTTCGCTGGTCTCCAAATTCGGGAATTTTCAAATCCAATAGATAGGATGTGATGGTTTTTACTATGTGTTCGAAGTGACTAAATGTATGGGTTCATTGGAGATCCTGCAAAACAAATCGAGACACTAAGTGACTCACCGTGGTGGGCCCGTCAATAACACTCAAAACGTTAAATTCAAATATCGGGAATGATATTTTACAAATGGTCAAATATTACAAAAGGCATATATCTTCCCAAATGATTCCTACCTCATATTTTTATGTGGTTTGATTGTTGAGTTCTTGTAGAAAATCAACATGAGATATAAGTAACGGCTTAAATGGACTATTATTTTGGTTAGGCCTTTAGTCTGCTATTGAACCTAAAGCCCATTCAACTGCAATGTAAACAATATGTATATGTATTATGTAATATATACAAGTAGGGGTGGGTTTTTTTTACCAAATTGCCCTACCAACCCGTTGCCCTACCGAGCCCTACCGATTCTCTACCGAAATATTTCTATCGAATTATTACCGTACCCTAACGAAATGTTTTGGTAGGGCAACGGCACTCAATATTATTACAATGGTATTGCCCTACCGTACCGAAATATTATTAATAAATAAAATTTTATTTTAATAATTAATTTATTATACATAGAAAGTTAATATAGTATCCTAACTAACTATTATGAGTTAAAATTAATTATACTCTTTAGGTATGTCAAAAATATTTTAAATTGCTTTCATTAATAATGATTTAATTGATATTAAAAGTTTTTATTTTATAATTGTATTTACGAAATATTTCATATTAGGTAAATTAAGAACATATATTTAGAATACTTATATCATAAATACTAGTTTGAACATTTTAAACATGTATATACCTTGAATGGTTTTGAAAAAAATATATTGAATTTAGATTTAAATAGTAGATAATATAGATTGGTAATTACCATTACCATACCCTACCGTACCGAAATTTTGGTATGCCGAAATCGGTATACCAAAGTTTTTGGTAGGGCAATGGTAATGGATTTCATAATACCGAAATTTCGGTAATGGTAGTGATTCGAGGGATTTGGTACGGCTGCCCTACCAAACCCACCCCTATATACTGTTAGCCGAGAAGATTTCTATAGATCCCGAGATTGTAGGGAATTTTATTTACTTTCCTTGTACAGTTGATTCTCCTTCTTAGAGTAGGAGTCTTGATTCTTTTTTTTTCTTATATATGTACCTCTATTAAGGGTTAATAATATACGTACAAGAAATTCTTCTCTTTGCCGTGTTCAACATGGTACCAGAGCATGGTTGATCCAATTTTTTTTTTTTTTTTCCTCTACGAATCAATTTCTTTTGTCACCATTATTGATTCTTTATACCCTTCTCGAATAACTTCGAATCTTCACACGAAATTACAATGACTGAAAAAGAAAAAACTTCAATTGCTCCAGCCCCGATTATTATCCAACAAGAAAACTCCGGCTTTCCTGTTAGTATTGTGTTAAACGAAACTAATTATCCATTATGGTCGCAGTTGATGGAGATGCGAATTGGAGCTCGCAACAAAGTTGGGTATCTAACAGGAGCAACGAAAAAACCCGCACTTGAAGATCCGAATTATGATACATGGATTACCGAAAACCACAAAGTGAAGAGTTGGCTCATCGATTCAATGAGCCCTCACCTGATGCAACGATTTATTCGTCTTGGAACAGCAAAGGAAATATGGGAGGCAGTGTCAAAGACTTTCTACGATGGATCTGACGAAACACGATTATTCGAATTAAATCAAAAATCTTTTTCGACAACTCAGAATGGGAGGCCTGTATCTACATATTACAATGAATTGGTTGCAATCTTCCAAGAAATTGATCACCGAAACACCGCCCAAGAAGAATCGGTTGAAGGGCTCTTACAAGTTCACTCGACAATGATGCGTTTGCGAGTTCATATTTTTCTAAGCGGCCTCGATTCTGAATATGATCAGATTCGAGGAGAAATTCTTCGAAAAGACCCGAAGTTGGACCTGGAAGGTGCCTACGCATGCGTGAGAAGAGAGTCACAACAACGACAAGTCATGGGAACGTCTAAACTGATCTCCGAAAATACAGCTATGATAGCTAATCGAAATCGGCGAGGGGAAAGTTTCAATTATGGCAAAGGAAAAAATGGTCAAGGTTCGGGAAAATTGAGTAACTACGCTTGCACTCATTGTGGTGAGCCCGGTCATTCAAAACAACGTTGTTATGAGCTCATTGGATACCCCGAATGGTGGGATTTTTCAAAAAAGCCGAGGAAGAATGTTACCGGCAAAGCTGCAGTGGCTATAACAGAAGAAGATCTTCAACCTCGGGAACAACTTTCATTACCTAGTGCCAATGTAACTCAACCAGGTAGTGTTGCTAAAGCTCGAATTTTTTCTGCCATTACTAAGAATAATACTTGGATTATTGATACTGGTGCATCCGAACATATGACTAGAGACCCTAGTATATTGAAAAAAATTCGCCCTTCATCCCAACAGGTCATATCTACTGCCAATGGTGGTACTTCTCCTATTACAGGAGAAGGGTCAATTGTCCTATCCAATGCCATAACACTCGATACCGTTTTAATTGTTCATAATCTCGAATATAATTTGTTATCTGTTAGCCAAATTACCTCAGCACTAAATTGTATCGTTACTTTTTGGCCAACATTTTGTGTCTTTCAGGATATTCTGACCCGGAAGACTCTTGGTTGTGGTGTTAAACGTGGCAATCTCTACTACTTAGAATTAACGAAACTCGGCGAGCAGTGTAGCAAGGCTTCCTTGACGACGAGTGATCAAGTACAAACTGATGCGTGGTTGTGGCATAGGAGACTTGGACACCTTTCATTTGGTTATCTTAGAAAATTGAGACCTAATTTGTTTACTGGATTGAATCTTTCGAATTTTCAGTGTGATATTTGTGAAATTGCAAAAAGCCATCAAAACCCGTATTTCCCTTCTTTTAATAAAAGTTCTGAACCGTTTATGGTTATTCATTCTGATATTTGGGGGCCTGCAAAAATTCCGTCTATTTCTAAAGCTCGTTATTTTATTACATTCATTGATGAATGCACTCGAATGACTTGGATACATTTACTTCGTCAGAAAAGTGATGCTGGTGTTGCTTTTCAAGAATTTCACACCATGGTGAAAACCCAATTTCAAAGACAAATTCGAGTATGGCAATCAGATAATGCAATGGAATTCCTTGACCGTTCATTTGGTGATTTTCTTCGAAAACAAGGAATTAGACATCACACTTCTTGCACTTATACGCCTCAACAAAATGGTCTTGCAGAGCGAAAAAATAGACAAATTATGGAAGTCGTACGTGCATCTATCTTTGGAATGAACGTGCCTCGATTTTATTGGGGAGAAGCCGTTAAGTCTGCTGTTTATTTGATTAATAGGGTGCCTTCTCGAGTTATTGGTTTTCAAACTCCACACAAAAAATTACAGACCTTTTTTGACGTACCCCATCAACCGAACCTCGAACCCAGGATCTTTGGTTGCACAGTGTATGTTCATATACCCAAAGTTTTGCGCGGTAAACTTGATCCATGTGCTGCACGTTGTATATTTGTTGGTTATTCTGATTTTCAAAAGGGGTATAGGTGTTACGACCCTAAAACTCGGAAATTGCATGTCTCTCTTAATGTCTCTTTCCATGAAAATGAACCTTATTATTCTGCTGCAAATTCTAGCTCTCGTCTTCAGGGGGAGAATGTGGATAAAGACGATACCTTTGTTGATAAAAATAATGCGAATGACGCATTTATGGAGTTGGAAACCTTGGAACAAAGTATGCATAGCATTGAGCATAATGATCAGTGCTTAAGCAATGAATCTTGTGAAGATGGAGATGGTGGTGATGACCCAGAAATTGAAAATCTCAACGACGAAGAAGCCGAGATAGTTGAGTTGCCCACACCACCAACCGAAGAGTCTTCTTCCCAGAATATCTTGGATGATTATGTTGCCGAGTGTCCATCCCCAACCATTCCCAGGTATTCTCAAAGGCCTAATAAAGGAGTTCCCAGAAAACTTTATGAGCCTAATCTTAATACCAAGTTGAAATATCCTATCAATAACTATGTCTCTACTCATAGTTTTTCGGAATCTTATGCACTAACCATTAATCAATTATCCGAAGTGTCTATTCCTAGTAATGTGCAGGATGCATTGGCAGATCCAAAGTGGAAAAACGCTATGAACGAAGAGATGAAAGCTTTACAGAAGAATTCCACTTGGGAGATTGTTCCATTACCAATAGGAAAGAAGCCAATTGGTTGTAGATGGGTGTATACTGTTAAACTTAAGGCTGATGGAAGTATAGACAGGTATAAGGCGAGACTCGTCGCCAAAGGATATGCTCAAAAATATGGTATTGATTATCAAGGGACCTTTGCACCAGTAGCCAAGCTCAATACTATCCGCATTCTCATATCTGTCGCTGCAAATCGAGATTGGCCTTTGCAACAATTCGACGTAAAAAATGCTTTCTTGAATGGCGATTTGGAGGAAGAAGTTTATATGGAACTTCCACCGGGAATACGCGAAAGTTCCAAGCACGAAGGTGAAGTGTGCAAATTAAAGAGATCCCTCTATGGTCTCAAGCAGTCACCAAGGGCTTGGTTCGGGAGGTTTACTTCGGCAATGAAAAAGATAGGATACGAACAAAGTAATGCAGACCATACTTTATTTGTGAAGCATAAAGAAGGTAAAGTCACTGCATTGATTGTGTACGTAGACGATATGATTTTGACAGGTGATGATCCTGAAGAAATGAAGCAGCTCCGAGAATATTTATTCGCAGAGTTCGAAATGAAAGATTTAGGACAACTAAGGTACTTTCTTGGCATCGAGGTAGCAAGATCTAAATTTGGAATTTCCCTTTCACAGTGTAAATACGTATTGGATTTACTAAGTGAAACTGGGATGCTAGCCTGCAAACCTGCTGAAACTCCAATCGAAGTGAATCATGGGCTTGGGATTTTTCCGAATCAAGTTCCTACAGATATAGGTCGGTATCAAAGGCTTGTGGGTAGACTCATTTATCTAACCCATACCAGACCTGATATAGCATATGCCGTAAGTATTGTGAGCCAATTTATGCATGCACCAAGCAAAGAGCATATGGAAGCGGTCTATAGAATTTTGAGATATCTTAAAGGTACTCCCGGCAAGGGTTTATTGTACTCGAAGAATGATGCTTTAAATGTTGAAGGTTATACTGATGCAGATTGGGCGGGAGATCAAACAACGAGGAGGTCTACATCTGGCTATCTAACCTTTGTGGAGGGAAATCTCGTTACTTGGAGAAGTAAAAAGCAGAAAGTTGTAGCACGATCTAGTGCAGAAGCGGAGTTTCGAGAAATGGCTCAAGGATTATGTGAATTGTTATGGATCAAGAGCGTCGTGAAGGATTTAGGGGTAGAATATAAAGTACCTATGAAGTTGTATTGTGATAACAAAGCAGCAATTCAAATTGCACATAATCCTGTTCAGCATGATCGAACTAAGCATGTGGAAGTAGATCGTCGTTTTATCAAAGAAAAACTTGATCAAAGGGTCATAGGTTTTCCGTTTGTCAAATCTGCTAGTCAACTAGCTGATGTCCTCACCAAGGCAGTATCGGGAAAAGAATTTCACAACGTGATAAACAAGTTGGGCATGATAAACATCTATGCACCAACTTGAGGGGGAGTGTTAGCCGAGAAGATTTCTATAGATCCCGAGATTGTAGGGAATTTTATTTACTTTCCTTGTACAGTTGATTCTCCTTCTTAGAGTAGGAGTCTTGATTCTTTTTTTCTTATATATGTACCTCTATTAAGGGTTAATAATATACGTACAAGAAATTCTTCTCTTTGCCGTGTTCAACATATACAAGAGTAGTGCTTGTCAAAATAATATGAATATTGGCAATTCATTTCCCCACAAATATTACAAATTCAGAAGTTTTACAATTATTAGAAAATAATAAAATAAATAGGCAAATAAATTTAGTTAATATCAATCAACCTAAGTACTCCACCTAACAAACCACTCAGATTAATATGAGCCACAAAATACACGTCAGCAAAATGATGACTCATTATGAATTTTTCTCCTCTTGTAGTTGAACTTTGCCATCTGCCATCACCACCTACACTACATATATCCAAAATTTAATCATCCAAAAAAAAAAATTTAAAAATAATCCCAATTGTTTTTAGAAAATGCTCTTTACGGGCTAATAAGTGCTATTTACCGTTCAAAGTAAAAAACAGTTTATCTCTCTAAAACCCCTAAAATTCGAAATTCTCTCCAATTACCCCCCATTCCAAAAATTTCAGAAAAATTTTTTTTTTTCGAAAAATTTCGAAATCAACCAAAATCGAGCTTGGGCTTCGATTTTTTCAGGTAATTTCAACACCTACATGTGTTATATGCAATGGGTAACTCGATTTTGCAACCAATTTCATGTTTAAAAGCCCTACAAATCGATTTGTAGGGCTTTTGAATTTTTCGGATGTTAGAGCCAAACGCCCAAACCGGGCGC